TGTTAGGCTGATTGGTCTATAGTTTCCTGGGTCTGTTTTTCCCCCCTTTTTTAAAGATGGGAACCACATCAGATCTTTTCCAGTCCTCTGGTAGTTCCCCGGTGCTCCAGGATTTTTGAAAGATATGGTGCAGTGGTTCAGAGATGACCTCTGCCAGCTCCTTTAAAAATCTGGGATGTAATCCATCAGACCCCAGTGATTTGTTTTAATCAAGATCAGACAGGTGTTCTCTTACTATTTTTTTGCTTATTTTAACTTTTATTTCTGGTCTGTCTTTTACAGTTATGTTTTTGGTGGGTTGAGCTATAGTTTCTTTTTGCGTGAAGACGGATGCAAAGAATGAGTTAAGCAGTTCTGCTTTCTCTTTGTTGCCTGTTACTTCCTTGCCGTCTTCTCTCTTTAGTTTTTTTCTTGTTATTTATATGTTGGAAGAAACTTTTCAAAATTATCTTTGACTTTTGTTGCAAGTCTTTGTTCATTCTGAGCCTTTGCTATCCTGACTTCGTCTTTGCAGATTCTGGCTATCTGCTGATATTCTGCCTTAGTTGTATGTCCTTCTATCCATTTTTTGTACTTTTCCTTTTTTTCTTTTGAATATTCCTTTACCACAGCCAGTCCTAATCTGCGTTCCTTCAGACATGAGACCAATATCTAGATTAATTCAGCCAGCATAGGTATTGATGAAACTTTTGACAATTGAAGACCATATATCAAATAGTTTATGAGATGAAAAATTACCTTATATCTTTCTAACTTCGTTCTCATGTTTACAAGATTTCTGGAGAAATTGAAATGTCATCCAGTGGTTGTAAGAAGGGGATAAGGCTATTCCCTTTTGGTGTAATACCGCATTTCTCTCTTTGGATCCAATCCTGGTATTCAGTCATTTGAATTCACCAATGAAGAATACCTTACAGTGCAAGCATAATAGCCTCATGTACAGGAAAGTTGTTTTGTTAGAGTATCCTTCCTTATTTCAATCTTCAACATTCATGGGATGAGCAGAATCCATATTCTTTATCTTAAATGTTGCCATCTGATGGGACTTCAGAGTCACACCTTCTCAGTGGCCACTCAAGCCCTTTGAAACAGACTCCTACCTGAAATCTAAGTGATCCCACCCTTTTAGCCTTCCATGTGACTAGGATTACTTATCTTTCCCCCAAACATTGGGTTAGGATAGGGATTGAGCTGCCAGATTGTTGGCCAGTACTGGAGGGAAAGGTATTTTTGTTTTTAACCATGTTTGTATGGTTTGTTTGTTTGTGAGCTATCTAGAAACATTATATAAGATAGGCAGCCATGTAAGTCCTGCACATTAATTAAGTAATTAATGGAAAACTATTTTGGAAATCCAGGACCACAAAAATGGAACAACTTGAGCTGTTGAAAGGAGGAAAGCTTTAAAGGTTGATTAAAATGTCAAGCCAATATTTCTGCTACTTTTCTTAGATTAGGAGTAGAGATGCCCAGCTCCTGGGGAACTTTAGGCTTATTAACTTATTCTCTTATCAGCCCTAATGTATATAATTATTATGAGGAAACCTGGAAGCAAACAGCTATGTAGCTCCCAACTGAAAAGTAGAACATACATGTTAGATTAGTCCTTCCTCAGATCATTTCACAGTTTACCTAGTTGTTCAGCATTTATTTCAATCAGGATATTGTTTGTACGTAAATTTTCTATGGATATACATATGCCCAGGGGTGGGATTCAATCGGTGTTACTACCGGTTCAGTGACTACGTCAGACTACGCCTGATGCGCGCTGTGTGTGCGTGTAAAAAAACCTTAAGCTGAGCCACCTGGACAGCTGAAAAGTGCAGTGCGCAGGTGCGCAGTGTTTGAAAAGCCTCTTTTTTCCTGCTTTTTCAACCTCAGCTGTGCCGCGTAAAGCAGCTGAGGTTGAAAAAGCAGGAAATAAAGGACAGGTAAGAGCCCGGTGGGTGGGTGGGCCAAACAGCAGCAAACACAGAACCGGTTCAGTGTCTGCTGCTCTTCAGAGCTACTGGTTCCTTAGAACCGGGCAGAACCGGTAGCATCCCATCCCTGCATATGCTATAATTTACTCATAATCCTAAAGCAGAGAAGCTTTTGCTCCCAAAATATGCCCAATATTCCAAGTAGAACATGGTGGTAATATACAACCATATCCCTCCCATTTTACTAATCATCTCATTTAGGTGAAACTTTAACATGAGAACAAAAAATGCATAGGAAATCCTGTAGTTCTAGATCTTTATGTTTGCCTGGCATTGAACGAATTTTTGTTTCATGATTTATGTGGGGAGAGACCATTGTTCAATTAAACCAAAAGATATTATTCTGTTTTGGAATATTTAAGTAGACCCACATTCAAGCTTGGTTAACCAAAGGCATCTAATTTCCATCATTTCTTTCAGGTTAATCCCTATATTTGACACCTATTTGAAAGAAAAAACAGGCTATGAAGGTTAATGGACTACCTCATCTAGAAATAGCAATTCCTACCCTTGGGCTAGATACAGACGAGGTACCGATGGAATGAGCTTCCCACGCTGCCCCCTTGACCTCAGCTGTCATGTAGAGAAATCAGCTTCAGTGGAGGTCAGAAGTACAGTAGTGTTTATCTTTCCCCATCTCCATGGTAACTCACTCCTAGGCTTTCCAATTGACTTCCAATTGTGTTAAACTGAATGTGGCTTTCTGACATATGAAAACCTACTCATTAAGGAGCGAATAAATGCAAGCAAACTCACTTTGCTTTCATCACGGGAGACACTTCCAACATGAGATGGTGAAGATGGAGTGGCCTTAAGGCTCTCTGTATTCTGTATCACAGATGAACTTTTGGTGCTAGATTTGCCCTCCCCTCCTCCCACCTCTAACTCTATGCCTAATATTTGGAAAAGACAGTGTGCTAAGGCTGCAGTATATACCAATTTGGTATTTTTACCCCCTTAGCATCACTGCAGTTTCACTAGACATGATTCTGACTTAGGCTGTAATCGTAAGAGCTCTTTTAGGATAGACCAAATGTGGTTTAATTCAGTATCATGTTTCTTTAAAAACCAAGGGCTAAGCAACACAACAACTTTCTCCAAAAAGTGGTATTTAGACATATACCGACTTTCTGAATATTGCATATTGTTTTCATCACTAATAGATCCTGATATAATCTTATTCAACTTTAGTTTATTTATACACTTTAAAGCCTGTCCAGAGTTGCTGAAGAACCAGCATGTTGTGATAGCAAATTCTGCATTTTTTTCTGTGTGAAATTCTTTCTTTTTTGACCTAAATTTCCCATTATCTGACTTTACTGTAATTATATAAACTTCGATTTTGAAAGTAATTACAGGTAGTTCTTGACTTGCAACAGTTCATTTAGTGATCTCTCAAAGTTACAATGGCACTGAAAAAAATGACGTATGACTATTTTTTTACACATTTAACTGCTGCAACATCCCCATGGTCACGTGATCAAAATTCAGACACTTGGCAACTGATTTGCATTTATGGCCATTGCAGTGTCCTGGGGTCATGTGGTCATCTTTTGTGAACTTCTGACAAGCAAAGTCAATGGGGAAGCCAGATTCACTTAAGAACTGTGTTACTAATTTAAGAACTGCAGTGATTCACTTAGCAAGGATGGCAAGAAAGGTCATAAAGTGGGACAAAACTCACTTAATAAATGTCTCACTTAGCAATAAAAAAATTAGGCGCAATTGTGACCATAAGTTGAAGACTACATTATATAAACTTAGATTTTAAAAGTATGAAAGTAAAAGGAATTTATGTAACCACTTTTTAAAACTTCTAGTCTGTACTTAATCTTTTTGTTTTCATAAACTATGAAGTCCTCATATGTTGTAACCTTTCTTTGTAGAGGAGTGAGTCATTCTAGATCCCCTTTTCAAAATTTGACTAGCTGCCTTTTGTTTATCTTGTTCGCTGCATACTTTCTGAACTGCAGCAATCAATGATGAGTGATACAAGTCTTCATCAAACAATTAAATGACTTAATACATTTGTGTTTCAATTTTAATTCATCTCGCAATGACCCTCAATATAAGTAAGTACACTTCTTATTGCAACTTACTGTTACAACACCAAACACTCTATCAAAATCACTTATCAATATTTTAACAGAATAACGGAATTTAATGGGACTGTGGAGGTCTTCTAGTCCAACCCCCACTCAATCAGCAAACTCTATACTATTTTAGACAAATGATTGTCCAATCTCTTCTTAAAAACCTCTAGTGTTGGAGCAAAACTTCTGGAGGCAAGTTGTTCCACTGATTCTAACTGTCAGGAAATTTCTCCCTAGTTGTACGGCTGGTTCTCTTCTTGATTACGGTAGCTTCCATACATTGCTTCTTCTCCTGCCTATAGATGCTTTGGAAAATAAGTTGACTCACTCTTCTTTGGGGCAACCCCTGAGATATTGGAACAATGCAATCATCCCCAGTCCTTTAAAAAAATTAAACTAAACATAGCCACTTCATATAATCATCCTTTGTATGTTTTAGGTCTAGTTCCATAATTGTATTTATTGCTCTTTTCTGCACTCTTTCTAGTGTCTCAATATCTTTTTTAGATTATAGCAACCAAAACTTGATGCAATTTCCAAGTATGGATGTTGCAGCAAGGCATTATAAAGTGGTACTAACACTTCATGTGATCTTCATTCTGTCCTCTGTTAATACAGCCTAAGACTGCATTGGCTTTTTTGGAAGTTGCAGCACATTTTAATGCAAGTGTAAAAATTATTTTCAAAATGGAGTGGCTCTTTCATTTAACAAGCAATAGTTCCATTTTGAAATCTCCAAATTAATAAAAGGCAGCTAAACTGCTGCCCATCATACATCTAATGTATCATCAGCATGCATTTATGTCTATGTATTCTTTCTTGTCTATGTATTTCTTTTTTTCTCTCCATATAAAATAGCGTGTATACAAAGTCTTGCCAACAAAATGAAGCCAACAAAACCTCTCCCATTGCTATAAATTATTACCAGTGAAGGTTTCATAAATTCTTCCAAATATGTATGGCACAGTCTGCGATCCCAGTTATCAGTGATGTGTCCACCATACATAATCTCACCAAAGAGATAACACAAATCTTCCCATGGAACCTATGGACATAATCAAATCAGTAAGAATAAACTTGTCTTCTAAAGGACAAAATAATGTTATTTGTGATCATGGTATTGAACAAAATTGGTGACTTCATCAGCACAACAACAAAACTCTTAAGCCTTTAAGATTTCAATAATTGTTATGCTCTACTATACTTTTGGTTTTCATAAAATTAGATTTATAATTGGAGCATGAGAATAACCTGCTCTGGAAACATGTTATATAGTAATGGATTATCTTCTGCAGTTATTAGTGTGACTCAGCACATAAAACATAATAGTATAAAGAAAAAGCAATGATTATATGAACCAAATTGCTGTGAATTTTTAAAATGTCCTAATGTTTTTTTAATTATTTCCTTAATATGAATTGAAACATTTTCATTTCTGGAGAATAATGAGCATGTTATGTAATGTGCTGTTTCAGCAAAAAACAGACATGTTCGTATTCCAGTAATTTCATCAGAGTGATTTATTAAGATGAGGCTTCTTATATTTAAGAAAAAATATTTTTGAAAACATAGTTAAAAGAAACCAGTTCACTTGTTTCAAATAGGATAAATTCCTGAACTTTGATATGAATCACTTATGTATTCTATCCTGTAGAATATAAATGTAAATTTCTAAATTCTACAAAATTTAGAATACAAAATGTTTTCAGCAAGGAAATGAATATATATATTTATATATATATAATCAAACTATATTAATTTCCAAGTCTATAATTTTATACTTAAAACATCAACACCAATTTGCTAAAAAAAAAAAAGGACAAAAACGTTCATATGGTATGTAAGACAATTTTAAATACAGTAGTCTTACATCAATAGCTTCAACGTCCTATCAATATGTAAATTTCAACTCCCAGGGTTGAGGCCTCCATAGCAAGATTGGCATGATTACATTGAACTTACATAAGCCCACCAAAGGTCTTGAATATAATTAAATACAGATTTAAATATAAAATCAATTTAGTCATTGTCTTTTTTTTTTTGGAAATGTAACATAAAAGGGTGTCTAAAAAAAGCATAATTATAATTATTAATTATTATTAAATTATAATTATGATGAATAGATATAAACTATACATAACAGTCAATTCTGGAGTGGCAGGACAATAAAATAATTACATGAGAGATCCTGGTGCTCTCTGAACTTAGATGTTTTCTTGCAGACGTTCATGATGCTACTTGGTCTGGGTAATGAAATGTCTGCAAGAAAACAACCAATCTCAGAGACTACCCTCTTAAACACATTCTTCTTCCTAAAGCACAAGAAAAGAACTTGCTCTTAACACCTTATTGTGACTGTTCCTTCAAGACACCTGGCAACCATGTGGATGATATAGTCTGTTAAGCCATTTATACATTGAATTGAATTGGATTGGCATCCTTCAGTCTCAAGACTATGGTATTGTGCTATGAAACTGGTAACTGCCATTTACCATGTTGTTTCAATGCTGTATGCAAAGCTGGAATGTCCTCTCTAGAGCACGAGGCTGGGTAATTTAATATGGAGGATAAACTGTTACCCAAGCAGCAGATTCCCCCCTCTCCATTTCACTGAAATACTCTAATGGAACGGCAGAGCTGATACAATTAGTTCCAGCTACATCACATGAATTACCAGAACATGATTTTCCTATCCTCGCTAAGATGGCGGTGGCCGGGACTCTCTACAATTACCCCAAGAACTGGTGAGCATTCAAAGTCCTCATCGCTGCTCAATACAGCAGGGCCAAGATCAAAGTCCTCTCCATGCCGCCCCAGTTCCACTTCAGGCAGACCAACAAGACTCCTGAATTTCTGAAAAAATTCCCAGTTGGAAAGGTTCTGGCCTTTGAAGGAGAAGATGGATTTTGTATATTCGAGAGCAACGCCATCATGCACTACGTCAGCAACAAGGAACTACGAGGCACAACTCAAGAGGCAGCTTCCCAGGTCCTTCAGTGGGTGAGCTTTGCTGACAGTGACATTGTACCCTCAGCCAGTACCTGGGTCTTCCCCACACTTGGCATCATGCAATATAACAAGCAGGCTACAGAGTATGCCAAAGAGAAAGCGAAATGGATCTTGAGCCTGCTTGATTCTCACCTGAAGACCTGCACATTTTTGGTTGGGAAGCGTATCATGCTGGCAGATATCACAGTGGTCTGCACTCTGCTCTGGCTTTACAAGCAGGTGCTGGAGCCCCCCTTTCACCAGCCGTACGAAAATGTGAACTGTTTGTTTGTGACCTGCGTAAACCAGCCCCAGTTCAAGGCCATCCTGGGGGACTTGAAGCTGTGTGAGAAGATGGCATAGTTTGACGCCAAGAAGTTTGCAGAGAACCAACCTAAGAAGGAATCCTCCAAGAAGGAGAAAACGCCGAAGGAGGAGAAGAAAGTAGAGAAGAAAGAAGAGAAGAAGCCGGAGCCAGAAGAGGAGTTAAACGAGTGTGAGCAGGCCTTGGCAGCCAAGCCCAAGTCCAAAGATCCTTTTGCTCATCTCGCCAAAAGCCCCTTCATCATGGACGAATTTAAATGATTGTATAAAATCACGAACTGCTTCCAGCACTCCAGCTCTGGATTTTTCCTTGAGGTTGACTCCTGAAGCCTTTTCCAATAATACAGTGATCCCCAACCTTTCTTATGCCGCGGCCCGGTATCCCCAACCTTTTTTATGGCGCGGCCTGGTACCGGCATTAGCT